CAAAGTCATTGTGGGCGAATTTCTTTCAGACTGAGCTAGAACTCGCGTTACTTCAAAAAGTCGGTTCATATCTAAAGTGTCTACCTGGAAAATGGATTTATTAACCAATGTACCAAAAACATGTATATTATTTAGGTGGGATGTCCGTAATAACTTACTTTGTGGGCAATTATTTCCTCACAGCGATTTATCACCGGTTTCATGTAAAACCTATTAGCTAGATGCATGACCATCGCAACATTCGCAACTGTAATAAAAATATTATTATAAGTATTTAATCCTTTTAGCTAAGAAATTTAAAAGAAGAAGATCCTCGTGAAGAGGCTCCAATAAGCTTGACGATAGTGTCGGATTGAAGATGTGCCTTAAAGTCTTTTTGAGTTTTCAAATTAGAGTCAGAAGCTGCGAGTTATAAATACTTGTTACAATTCTTTGTGTTTGGATGATACATAAGAGCTTTTAACGCAAAAAACTGCTAACTGTATGACAAAAATTTGTATGTTTCCTACAACGTAAAGCAGGGTTTTGAAGTAATAATTAAAGAGGAATTTAAAATGATCGTTCCTCATCAACAAAATAACTCTAGGTCTTATCTTACAGAAAACACAAAATTAAATAAAACTTGTTTCGCAATTTCCTCTTCACCTCTTGAATTCAGTTAAAAATGATAACTAGTTCTACTGCATATACGATAACTTTATACATTAATTCTCCATATAAAACTTCGCAGAGTTTGGGCAGTTGTCTGCGCAGTTTTTTAATTTGGAAAGCTGAAGATCTCATTTTACCAGTGATTGGCTTCCTCGTTGGACAGTAAAATATCACGCGCATAAATTCCAGCAACTCTTCATACGTTATTTCTGAACTTAACTCCAACTCGCTTAAAGCCTCTTCACCGAAAAACTTTTTCGCAAAAAACGGCGACAGCTCAGCTAGCCAACCGGGGTTTACGTAAAGAGCATGCCCTAAATTTTATACAGACAATGAGCTTGCCCACACTTCAGTCTTAAATGTTTTTTAAATCTATAAGCAAAACTGGAAGCGAAAGTCCCAAGTTTGAGTCATTGAAGTTATCACAAGGAATAGAAAACTTACCTGAATGTAGCGGACTCATATCATTCCAGGAAAATTCATGAGTTTATTCGGGTTATGTCCTCAATGAAGGAAAAAAGTAACAGAAAAAAGATAAATTACTAGAAATCAACACTAATTCAATAAGAACTTACCGCCTGCAACAATCCGCGCATTCCTACAATCTGTAGGTATTGAAAAATCGTCATATGCACATTTAGTAACAGTCGACACTGACCTGGTAGAGCAATTCGCTGTAAACATCTAAAAAATGACCAACTGTTACGACAAAAAACTGATATTTTTTGGTGCCAGTAGCACTCGCTTTTTCTGAGACCAAAGTAATCAATAACGACTTCGACCAATAAAAAGAATCAATTCGTGGAAATCTTTCACACGCTGCTACTTGGACTGTAACTGTAACTTCAGCAATCACCTATCATTTGCGAAAGGGAACAATACACTTTTTTACTGACTCCGACTGGCAGAGGAAAAACGCTTGTTAGTCCACCAAAAAATTTCTCGTTTGCAAAATGACACTCCCGAACGTTTTCACTACCGAGATCAAAAATCCACCTGTCGGCAACACCACAAATACACATGGTCTCTACAAGGTTATTTAACCGTGTTCAGTAGATTACTTTTCTACAACGCTCCTAACAAAAATTTGTAATCCAGTTGGGTGGGCTTTCCGTCCCCAAAAATATTATTTTTCAAAAGAAAAAAGCTGCATTTGTTTTTCCCTCTAAAAACGTACAAATACCAGCGGACTTTAAACTGTTGGATAAATAAAGGCATAAAGGAACTCATTTCCGTGCCGAGTTTCCAAAGGGTACATTCAAAAAAGTGGCCTTACTAAATACCTTTACGACGTCCAAAGCAAAAGAGCGTCAATTTTCTCACACCTGTACCCTGGTTCGTCAAACGTTCCCTGCAGGTTGAAGTCACTGCTTTTTTTTACTCAAATGAAATTTAAAGAAACTAGTAAAGCTCAAGAGTTACGACACGAGTATCTAAAACTAAATGTTTATCCGTTTTGACAAAGAAAGTGGCGCTGTTTTCGACGTCCGGCGTTATTAGTAAACTGGATAACTCATCTCCTCCCCTCCGCAAAACGTTCCACTGATGTAGTATTGTTTACGTCTAAATTTTCACGGTTACATGGAAAAAGCGATGCGTTACAATGACGGTTAATCTTCTTTCAGCTTTTTTGAACTAGCAGCCCCAAAGAAAACCTTCAGTTCAGTACAGAATAC